TAACACGTGCTGTTAACCCTTTTAAGCTCGGTACTCACGACTCTGTCTCGCTTAACCGCGAGAACATCCCTTAACGCGTTCACTGCTGTCAGTTCGGAACAGTGTTTTATTTAACAAGTTTCACAGTGCACAATCCACGTTCGTTTTCTAATCGAAGATGATTCTACATAACATTATAGACTTTAAACGCACTTATAAGACTAATAGACTATTAAAATTCGAAATAGACCTTTGATCGTCGTTTCTTTTGATTACGAGAAGACTTTGATTTTCAATTGCACCGCAGCAATGAAAGCGTTAAGATCTGTTCGCTAAAGAATCCTTTGAAGCGCATTCCGTGTTCAAGAATGTTGAATATCTTCATAAAATCACTAACACTCGAACAGGTAACGAACGGTTGGTTTCTTAATATGAATTAGGGTAGCCACGCCCTTTTGGCAGTTTAGAGAACACCGAAATAAAAGATTCACTACGTTGAACGGAATTTCAGGGACCTGTTGCGTGAATATGGCGCTCCAAAGGATCGAATCAAACTTCGGGACAGCGTCTATCGCTCGAATCGATTGAAGTTACGTTCCTGCACTGCTCCGTTCGTGAATATCCGAGTTCTGTGGCAGTGTGTTACGCATAATAACGGATTTACGGTAGTCTTTATGTTACACCTATATATATACGTATATTTTTACAAAAATTTCACGCACACACTTCCGAGTCCGACACCAGTCGACGAGCCTGGGACTCTCCGCGGCGCTATCGAGCGACCGAAGAGCAACGTGTGCTCTTTCGAGCTTCGATTACGCGGTGTACAACCATTTTCACACACACTTAACAGTTTTAGATTGAAATCCACACCCGACCATACTCGACGTAATGTTAAACGATATGAAAAAACTTAGGATCGCTACTTTAATACGGGTTGACTCACGATAACGATCTAGCGACGATTCATTACACTAGCCCTCCTCCAATCACGTTCTAGTGTACCGCGGAGAACATTTAGACACAATTTAAGTCGTAATTGGTCATTGGTTTTTCGTAAATTATACTGTGGCGACTGTTTTTCTAAGTTTATCGGTTTCATTTCAGACGTACACGATTATAAAGGCTGAATCAAACTCGTGGTGTATGCTGATTAGACAATAGAAGGTTTCATTACCGACTGTGTACAAAAATGATTCCGTTGGGCGAAGATACGAAGAAGTCATTCTTGAATGGGAAATTATACGATTGCGTGGCAATATGGCGCTCAATGGGGGAAAAATACACTGTGTTGCTCGTCGACGATCGAAGATATGGTTGGTGAAAATCAATTTATAGATTTCAGTTTCATTTTTAATACCGTTGAATAGCTTCTCCATGAAATAAAATTGTTTGATTTATATAAAAAAACCTACTCGAATTAACTAAGATTATTATACCATTTCAACAACGCAGTTTCTCGACAGAATAAATGTATTTTATTTTGATTTCTCTTTGACGAAATTTAGACAAACGTGATTACTCATGAAACAGTAATATTTGTAGACATCTTTCGCAGATTAACTCCTTGGACGGTGCATTGTCGACAGTCAAAGCAATTAGTGAATTCCTTTTCCCGACAGTTCAGCAACATGCCGCTAACAGTTTCGTTCATTTTCCTTCGATTTTAATGAAGACTATAAACTAGCACACCCACGAATCCACAAAGTAAACAGACGAGAGCAATTGTTTCACGCAACTGATCGAATCATCGACGGGCAATCCTCGGATCCACGGATCCGTCCATCTGTCGATTCACGCCGCGCAACGTTTCACAGTCAACCGGAGGAAAGAAATGGGAAAACGGACGACTAAACGCGACACGAGTACAGGTCCTCTTAGAAAGTAGCAAACGTATCTTTTTTTTGGCGTTTCTTACGGTATAAATTTCACTTTATGTACAAGGAACATCTAACATCGTAGTAGATAGCGTTTTATACACGGGTCGTCGTGACCGATTCGTCAGTTTTCTTGAGCGTATCTCTCTTTCTCTCCCTCCCTTTCTCGCTGTTTTTCACTCTCACTCTCTCTCTCTCTCTCTCTTTCTCTCTCTCCCATTCTCCCACCCACGTGACACCTAAAATTCATTATTATCGACTAGCTAGCTGAATGTACTGCGTTTGATTTCCGTATCGTAAGAATTCTCTGTTCCTTTTGATTGAAGTTCGATTGATCGTAAGAAAGAAGTTGCGCCCTCGATTATCTGGGGAAACCCTCTCACCGATAATACCGATCTATCCACGACAAATCCAAGTATCCATCACCAGTCTCCCGACATTTTCCTCGCAGATGCTGCCATTTGCAGGAGGATCCGCAACTTTCAAAATGTTCATTGAACGCCTTCAGACATTCAAATTCTCCCGAGGATTTCCAAGAGTATCGATCCTTTCTGATCAAATTAATCCAATCAGACTGGACCTAGACCGTCCATCTTCATACCACGTGTCCGTGGTCTGACCTGTCATCCAACGATGACAGTCCATAAACGGGCACCTCTTCAACTCGCTGTCCTCAACACCTTTTCTTCATCGTCTTGTCTTAGTCGTGTTCTTCGGCACCGAAGCCGAAGCTCCCCGTCCACCCCCCTCCATCAGTCGCTGTCCCGTCGTCACTCCGACGGTCCGTTCGTTCGAGAGTGACGCGACGACGCGTGTCCGCGTGCCAGCCGCCGCGCCGGCCATTGTTCGCCGCAGTCTCAAGGTCCCAGGGAGATTTCGTTCAGCCGAAAGGACGAGCCGAGAATCACCCTGCCGCTGGAACCCGAGCCCGAACGGCTGACCAAACGACCCCGACGCTTTTATAGCAAGGTCGACGCCGTCAGAACGTCCGGGACGACTGGCTTCGGAGGGGGGTCCAAGCATCACACTCGCATCTCGCTCATTGTTGCCTGGGACACGCGACTCGACACGGTGGCGCTCTGCAGCAGGGGCTGGTTCTCGGGAGGACTTTTTGCTCGGGGTGGTGGTGGAGCTCTTGGAACTGTCAGGTGTATTGACCCGTTTGGTGGACCCTGAAAGTTAGACATCGTTAGACGATCGGAATTGGAGAGGGTCTTCTGTAATTGTAGAAATTTGATTGCCTTCAACCCTCTGCACTCGAGAGGCGACTCTCGGTCGCCGGTTGATGATTTCATAGAAACATGTGAAATTGTGAAATGTTTAATATTAACCCTTTGCGGACGAATGTCGAGATTTCGGCAAGATGAAATGGTCGCGAACAAATGATTTAATTAATCAAACACCAAGAAATCCACGTAGTTTCTGTTTTTCCTGTCATTTAAGTAACTGATATATAATTTAGCTTCATCTGCTGAAGATTTCGTGTATTTCAAAGAATCTTCGTCCGCAAAGGGTTAACCTATCATACATCAATAAGTGAAATATTCGAATGATCTTTGTTCTTTACTTTATATGTGTTTTCTTATTAGTTTCAGGGAATGTTGTTTCTATTTCATTGAGAAATATTGAATATTTCTAGTGAAAAAGTTTGCAGTGCAAAGGCTTAATATTGTCGTTACTATATTATTTGTTACTCATCGTAATGGATTATAATCGCACATGGTTATCCTTAACATTGGTCGAGGATTCAAGGTGTGTTGTGACTTTTCTTAATAGTCTGATTTTAATTTGTAGTCAACAATCTCACTGCAGTCATCTGGTCAGCACAAATGTATTCCCTTTAGGACAAAGACAAGCCTTTTCGACTGATTAATTTATTTCGTAAGTTACGCCATTTTCCTTAGTCATACAATGTAGTAATTCACAGATGTCTGGTCAAGTACCATTGCATTTCACTTGACCGTTCTACTCGCTTTGTTCCAGCTTTGACTAGACCAACTGTTTGTATTCTGTTCGTATTCTGACGTTCTAACATCTACATGTACATTCTGTATGATGCTTGAACTTAGTTGGCTGAGAATACGTTGACCTATTCTACTTATCAGCCAGACGTATTTAATCGTAGCCGACTGGTTCATGACTGTTCTGTGTTTCTTGGCTACCCTGGACTATATTAACATTGTTTGGCCAAATTCTGTCATATTCCATTTGCTTCCAATATCAATCGAAAGACTATAACACTATCATTAATACACGATTGTTCTTTTATTAAAACTATCTCAACTACTAGTGACTTTTCCTCGTAGCAACTTTTATCACACCTAGAAGCCTCGATTAGTAATTACTCTAAATGATCTGCTTTGTAATATCGTCACGAATTTCGAAGTAATTAATTGTGAACATTTTTGGATCTTCACTCTTGTTCATTGAACGCTTCGAAGCACAGCAATTATTGTCAATGTACTGAAGAATTCTCATATCGATTTATAGTTTCCATAAACAGTTTATCCATAACTGTCAAACGAGAACCTTTCGGAACGCGAAATGCAAGAAAGGAAAGTATTCGCGATTGTTCCGATCGTGTACGATCAAATAATGAATTTATCACTCCTTGTCCCTTTATCTCGTAGAGACCTTCCACCGCGGTACGGGGAATCGAATAACTCCCCGAGTTGTGTTCGACGTTATCGACGACCATAGACAACTTTCAATCGACGCGAACGATTGTCAACAAGTTTTCGCGCCGCGCCGCGAAACTGTGGATATTTTTCCTACGATCACCGTTCCTTGAATGCCATCGAGATTCGTGACGATAACGAGTCCACTTCAGCTAATAAAATTTGATTGCGAAGGATATTGATCAGGAAATAGTTACGAGGGAATTAATGTCAAGTATATTCTAAGGGATCGAGTAATTAACACTAGAACAGCTGAGCACTTAATATGATTAATATGTAATCGTTATAGAAATTGTAACGATAGATTATTATTAGTTTCTTCAGACATTCGTTATAGCATTCAAGTGCGACTATTTATTTTCAAGATCATTTCGAATATTACATGCTTCTAAGATATCAATAATTGCGAGACAAACAATTTGAAACCAGTCATTCTGACTAGTACGGTAGATCTAGTGTTAAGCGAAAATAGAATCGTCTCTGAAACAAAGCAAACATTAGTCAAGAAAAGGTGATCTGTAAACGAATCTAAATGAACGAACACGCGAATGCAGAAGGTTTTCTACATTATAGGAAACGAATCACTCATTTGCCAAAGTGATGAACTCCACAAAATAAGAAATATAAAATCCGATGAAGTTACACAAAGAACAAATTATATATTTCAAATTAAACCTTTAACCCTTTTAGTGCTGGACGATATATCGTTGCGCATCCAGTAGCGGGAGAACTCTATCTCAAAATAAATTTATAAAACTTTACAAATGCTTTAATTTAATTGCAAGAATTCTTTTCGAATTACGTAAATATTTTTAGTTTGGTTTTTATGACCTTTTCCCCAAACCTTAGTAAATTCGTCCGATTATCTTCGCAGAGGCACCCGTTTTTCGCCCTAAAAGGGTTAAAAAGTGGAGTTACTCACTTCGACCCGTGAACAACTGAAACATCGGCGCGACTCGAATGAGAACCACTGAAACGTAGCGCATTGCCCGTCGCCTCCTCTCGATTCGCGATGACAGGGTGCTCAATTATGCCCCGAACACGGACGAGGTCCTCGAGATCTTGGCCGACCAGTGTTCGAGGGTTCTCCGTTTAATAATCCCCATAATATTTAGCAAGAAATCTCGCAGCGTCGCGAGCTACCGCGGCGCCGGCGTAGATATTAAGCCATTAAATGTTTAACGAGCAAACCGGTTCCGGGTGGCGGCAATTTGTTAAACGCGATCAAGGCATCGCCGCTCGCCGGCCCGGTACACGCTCTTTCCTCCCTTTTATTATTCGTCGAAACGAGCCGCTCTTAAAGGAAAAAATCATAATACCCCGCTACCGTGACTCTTATTGTCCATAAACGAGAAGTTTATTTCCGGCGGGGAGCGCGCGCGCGGCGGGCTCGAAAAGCGGAGCACGATCGGTCGGTGAAACGGGCCTGGAAAATTTTACGCGTTGCTCGTTGATTTATAAAAGTTCCGTTAACGACCGAAAGGCCTCTGAAAACTTTAATTCATAATCCTATTAAGAAACTTTCGGAAGTTCTAAGCCGGCGCGGCGGCCCGGCGAAATTTACACTGCGAGGCGTCCGACATTCTTCGCCGGTCATTATTCCAGCTACGGACAGTATCGTTCTTTTATCTCGTCGCTAAATTTCCGCGGGCCACGAAAGAGCGGGGGGAGCGGGGGAGCGTGAACTTCATTAAGCGAAACTTTAATGGCTGCCCGTTAACTTCGTCCGGATTTCGACTTTCATTTTTACCGGAGATTTCAATTTCGCCGAGAAACTTGTCTGTCCCTCCCCCCTTTGGATCTCGTCTCGCGTTCCGCCCCTTTAGAACGATGAAAATCTTATGAAAATTAACTCTCGCGGACGGACGATGGTATTCCAGTTCAACCCCGATTCGCTCGTTTGAGATCGCGCTCAACTCGTTACGTTTCCGAGAGCACCGATCAATTTGTCGGTGCTTAGAAGTTTGTTGACGCACTCAGTGGCTCTCATTCGTGGACGCTGGAACAAAGACTGGATGAGTAAATCGGAGGAATCCGATGTGATCCCACGGAGGATATTCTGCATTTTTTGGTAATGTTTTATTACAAGGTAAACTATGGAATGTATCGTTTGGATCGTGGGAAATAAACGATTGAGAACCACGATGTTTTACGGATCGTAATAATAATGATGATGAATTTGAAACACTTTGTCTTTATCCAAATTTGGAATCTTTATTAGATAGAATATTTATAGAAGCTTTCTAGGATAACGGAAGATCTATTAAATGGTAACTTGTTTTGTCAATAAAAGTTCAAACTCGAAATAACTGATTAAATTTCTTCACGCTCAACGCGAGACACGAAAATAAAAATCGAATCGACGTATGATCGAGAACGCGCTGGGTAAACGATTAAAGTGCAAAGGGTTCTAAATTGATTGGAGCTGGTGGGGACGGTTTGGATAAAGATCATCGCGGTTTCTCTCGTGACGGTCGAGTAATACGATAGACTCTCACTTGGGTTTGTGCGCTCATGTCCTGTATGACGGAAGCTCGGGGAAGAGTGGCATGCTGTTGCTGATGTTGCTTTTGATAGTGATGTTGATGAGGCAACGTGTGAGTTCCCTGGCCCTGTTGGAGAAGCGTGTTGGGATCGTTCGGAGGGCCTTTCATAACGTTCCTGCAACCACGATCGATCGTTACGAGCCCGTAACACTTCGGAACGAGATGCAATCATCTTGTTAAATAAATTTACGGTCGTGCGGCGGGCGGGGAAAAGGTGGCCATTGTTGGAACAAATGCGGTTAGCCGAGAAACATGAATGACGTTCTTGGTATGAGCACGTGAACGGTTTATTTACAAGGGACGATGGATTGATTATCGAACATTCTCAGCCCCGAGGAAAAACGGTGCAACGAACACGTGACGGGAAATTCAATCTCGAGTGATATTCATACTGCTCTTTTTATATTAATTTTCCGTTGAATATGTAATACTCTCATTGAACATTGAATCATGGATTTCAATTATTAGTTAGTTCTAACTGTGGCTGGAGTTATTTGCGATGCAATATAACGCATTCAATGAAATTTTCATCCACGATTATAAGTGCGTTATTCAATGTGTGCTATTTTGAATAAAGTATCGTTTAAGGTGGATAGTTGAAAATTATTTGGAACATATTGTCAATATACATACATTCTCGGAAAGGAAGAGTCTTCTGATTAACGAGAAAATTGATTTGTTTGAAGTTGAATAACGGTACATATCGAATAACAAAAAGCAACCAGCGTTTCGAGTATGAAAAGAGCGAAAGAAATAATCGAAGGTAAGAGTGCGGCAGTAAAGATGCTCATCGGAAGACTCCTGGCCACCTTTTCGTTGACTTGTTCCACTGCGAGGTGATCAGACACAGCTCGAGCCATTTCTTTCAACCGTGAATACTCATTCATCCGATGTTTATCGAAGTATTATAACTAGACAGCGGATTTCATGCATTTATCAAATACGAGCGCATCGAGTATCAAGCGAACGAACGTTTATAAGAGTTTAAGGACTTTTTTATTTTCAACTGACTGAAATTCTCAAGAGAAGAGATCGGTTTGTACTTATCTCTCGTTCCTTCGAATCACTTTGGAAAATATGTATTTCGCATGGAAATCCGCAGTGCAATTTGAACCGTGCGCGACGATAAGTGTGATTTGTTTGCGCGCAATACCTTCTTAGCATCTCGTTCTCCACATCAACGATAACCTGACCGCCCCCGGGGAAATGGGAGTGCGGCGGCGGCGGTTGTTTCAGCTCGGTGAAGCCCCGTGGCCCGCACTGTTGATTCAACATCTGTTGCTGCTGAAGACTCTTCACCTCGAGCCGCGTCTTGTCCCGCTGATAATAAACCCCCGCGAAAATGAGAACGTTCAGGATCAGCAAGCTGCACCCGATGGCGATCGTCACGCTCAGCGCCGTCGAGTATGCGGCGTACCTGTTCGAACGATCCGAGTTTTAGAGCGCTATGGAACTATGAGACAATGGACTGGATGTTTCTGTGGAAGGAAATATTGGCTTTCACGAGAGTATTCGAATAACTGTCTTGTGCAACGTGAAATCCAAAGGTGACGCAAGCGAAGGTAAGGATAAAAAACTGATTCGAGTGAAAATGAATATTTTATCATGTAATCGTGGAGCATAATTTGTCAACGTTACTCTGTTATAAATAGTAAACTTGTGTAATTGATGTCACAATGAATGTTGTAATGTAAAAGGTTTACAATACGCTGTAACTTTGTAAAATCGTCAATAATGAACCTCTGTATTTGCCAGTTATTTATGAACAGCTGCGAATATATGGAGAATTAATTACAAGTGTATTACAATAATTTGACCACTTAATAGAGTGAACGATTAATAATTGTAATGTGAATGAGATGTTTGAATTATATTGAATATATGGAAGGGAATAAATTTAATGAGAGAATAGGAAGAATTTTAGGAGAAGGCGTTTAACGGTCCAGCTCTGGCAAACAATCCTAGAATGAGACAACCTATCCAGGTAACACGCACGCTGCCACAAGGAACTTATTAATTCGAACCCTAATGGAGAACGCGAAACAGTTACCACGGAATCCGCGCCATTATCACCGTCCCGGGCGACTCTAACAAAGTTAGCCGCAATTCAGCCGGGAACGCGGCTGTGTTCTGGTCCGCGTGGAAACGATTCTGTCCAAGAGAGGGTTCTTCGTAAAATGTCTGTCTCCATTAACCCCTTCATTGTGGCTAGCTCTAGTAAAAAGTCGATGAAACTCAACACTTTCGAGGGAACGTTCTCATCGACGGTGAGTGGTCAATTACATCTTTCTCATATTATTCATTGAGAATATTTAATAGAAAAATTGAGTTTGTGTCTCAGAAATACTGCACTAGGAATATTGAAATATCACAAGTACTGATGAAATTCAACAAGTGATTTTACTGTAATTAGTTTTTAAATTACTAGGTAATAGTGTAACGCAAGAAATGCAATAGTAAATCATTAATATCTAATTATTTGCGATACCATCTGTCTTTTCTATAAAAAAATTAGTGGTATTATGTTATATTTAATAGAAAAAATTGAGTTTGTGTCTCAGAAATACTGCACTAGGAATATTTAAATATCACAAGTACTGATGAAATTCAACAAGTGATTTTACTGTAATTAGTTTTTAAATGACTAGGTAATAGTATAACGCAAGAAGTGCGATAATAAATCATTAATGTCTAATTATTTGCGATACCATCTGTCTTATCTATAAAAGAATAAGTGGTGTTATATAAAACACTAAACATTTTAGTCAACGTATCGAAGAAAGTATACTCATCACGCACCCAGCTGCGTCCAGGCTAGCCAATGTGTCGGTGCTGGCGTTGTGAACATTCTGAAGGTTCGTGCTCTGTATATAGCTGACACAAGTGGCAGCGCTGTAATCGGTGGTGGTCGGCGGCTCGGTGGTTATATTCTTGCGTTTAAACTCTTCGCTGATCCTGCTCAACGGGTCTGGCCTGACCGATCCATCATAAAGCCCGGGATCCGAATGGCCACGAAACAGGTTGTGTCTGGAGTCCACATCCTCCATTCCAGCGCGATGCAGTTCAGGGACTAGACGTAGCCACACCGACAGCTGATGAGCTCGATAATGATTCTTTATTTTCGGCCGAAGACCTAGAAAATCACAGAAAATATTTCAGTTAAATCGTTCAATCCACTATTTAATTTTTGGAGTAGAATTAGTCATGGGATTAAATTTCAGTTAGATTTTTGATTTTGGAAGACCTAGGAATAAAAAGATATTTCAGATAAATTGTTTAAATCATATTTTTGGACTAGCAATTCGGCACACTTGTTCCAAGTTTTCACAAATTGTCCATAGGACTGAAAGATTGAGTTACATTGTTAACGGAATTGTCGATACAGAATTGTTACGAGGAAGAAAATAATCCAATGCCCTTTGACAGGTTCCGTTACTTCATTCTCTAAGGTTAATCCTTTCACGGCGATATTAATCTAGGACACACCGATTACAGTACACACGTGCACCTGGAGCCCGGGTTAAATGATCGAATTAGAGCACGCCGCGCTTCAAAGTACGGGAACAATGTGATCCCGCTCGTCGATTAGTTGCAAACACGGTGTACTTCGTTATCGTGAACGAATTTCTGTCCCGATACCGAATCTCACGAGTCGTGAGGGGAAATAAATGTTTCCGGTAGTGTGAATCAATTACGAAGCATCCGTATTATGTTCCAGTAGCTGCAGCTTAACATTCCCGACGGTATTCAACGATCTACATCCGCCTCCTCGAGTATTCCACGGTCGATTTCCCCCGTGTTGCCCGTTATCTTCGGATTAAAAGAGAGTTCGAAACGAGAACGACCGCTCGTCTCTCATTAAAATAGTTTTAAAACGCGTTCCGTGTATAATGCCATTAATGGCGGGCAGAACGGGTATTATGATACTTCATAAAGCAAACTTCATTAAAAAAGTTCCGGAATCGTCTTCGGTATCTTCCGTGTTTGCCCGGTTCCATCCTTCCGCCGCTCCCTCGCCCCCCGCCCGGCTGTGCATTATCGAGTTATAAAATTCCCGACGTGTAATGAAGAATTTACGATGGTGCTACTCTGTTTCATTGCGAACCCGGGAATTATTCGTGCTCCCATTAAAGTGGCTCCGGGAGCGAAATTGAAACGGTTTTCCACGGGAAAATTTCCCTCCCTGAATGGCGGCGCTCCGCGCGACGTTTCGTTAAATTTCCATCGCGATAAAAAGATATTTCAACCGAGTGTGTCAGGAGCTGAGAAACCTGGAACGCTTCGACCACTGCTCGCCGCCCGCTGGAAATGAGAGCCGGTGTGTTTCGTTTCGAGAAATTCCATTCGATGCCTGCCACCAATTATTTTTCCGAGCGAGGCGATTCGAGCTCGAGTCGATTCTCAGGCGAATTCCCTTCCAGGAGATTCGGCCGTGTCGGACTTCCGGTGATCCACATTTTCGCAAAACGTCCGAATTACCCGGCTCCGCGAACTCTTATATCTTAGAAACGATCGCGCTCCTCGCTATTACAAGCCCTCCATTCCGCATTTCCGGATTCCTCGAATTTCACAATTCTAGCACGGTAGTTTTCCGAGCAACTAGAAACTTTAGGATCCCTCAACTTTACGACCCAGCGCCCACAAAAGTTGTCGAGCTTCTAAGACCTTTATCCGCGGAATCATAGTATGTATAACGTCTCTGTCATTGTTGAACTCTAGCAACCTAGGTGGAGGGTCTTCATACTCCCAGACTCTAAAGTTCCAAATTCGGGAGACCGTAAACCTCTAGATCTTTGGGTCCTTAGAGCGTCTAATCTCTAGAGAATACTGTATCTACAATCCTCCGTCTCTACGTGTCCAAAATTCTAGTCTATACTCCTACAAGTGTCATAAGTTCCGAAATTCGGAATTCCCGGCGACCTGGGATCGCAGATTCGAAACCTTCGGGGTTGACGTAACCGTGGAATCTCGGTTCCTCGATTGCGATCATTGATCGTGGGAAGAGTCCCGAAAGTTGGTCGTTTCCTGTATCAAACAGGGGTCGCGTGGGAAACGAAGGATTTCCTCTAATCGAACTGAAAGATTCAGGCGAAGCCAGCCGTCCGGGTCCCGTCTCGAAGCTGTTTCTTTCGCTAGCGACGCGCGCGAGCGTTCCACGGCGAATCAAATGTCAGCGAGGTGTCCTGAAATGATTCACGGGTCCTGATACACCGGATCTCGATCGGAAATCGGCCCGTGTGTCGCTTTACGGTCCGCTAGACGCTGCCCTGTCATTCACGGGAACGTTTCCCCGGGCGAGATTTCGCCGTAAATGCTTCCAGAATTTTCTGACGCGTACGATAGAGCTGCCTGGTTGATCACGGGATCCCCGGGCGATCCGCGTGTCTTCGAATTTCTGTCGAATTCGCTTCTTTCGATCGCCGTCTCGACGGGAAGTGCTTTTGTTGCGATTGCAAACCGGTTAACTCCATATTTTTGAGACTTCAAAAATTTTGTATTATTGAAGTATTTAAACGGCTTTTAATTTCTTTTATTTTGAATGTAAGAAGTTAATTAATGTGAGAAATATCATAAATTAGTATAAGAAAATTAATATAATAAATTAATATAAAAAGTGAATATAAGAAATATAATAAAATAATATAAGAAAATTAATATAAGAAATATGATAAAATAATATAAGAAAATTAATATAAGAAATATAATAATTTTCTTATATTGATATATTCAAAACAAATATATTAATATATCACTTTATTATTGGGTTCATTGATACGAAATTAATGAGAACTCTTTTGGCAAAAATTGCAATAATAAAGCTTGTTTTAAAAATCTACTATTTTATAATGTCTGCTTGCTTTTGTTAGGAAATCTGACAAATCGTTGTACACTATTGCATTACATCTCTTTACTTTTTGTTCCGTGTAGTTGACTGATTTGGTTAACGAGTATCTCGTACGAGTAAAAGTTCAAACGAAATTTAAACTGAAGGTAAATTTCCGCCCGTAAAGGTCTTACCGATCGAAGTGTTCGCGCATTCGACGCGTAATGGCGCACTGTAAACTCGAAGCGTCCACGCGTGATGCGTCTGTAGATTCATCAGTCGCTCAAAGCACTTTTTCTCCGCTCCGGTGTAATCACGGCCGGAACGAATTAAACGCGACGCGGGGATCGGTGATAATAACCTGGTTTTGTTTGATCGTGATTCGAATTAACTCGAACCTCGTCGAACACTCGCGGACGCGCACAAACGTACACAAACGCGCGATCCTGCAGTCGATTCGAATTATAATTTCATGCCTTCGGTCGTCCGTATCCGGGGATTATCGTTTAAATTTCCCCGGATATTTACATCCGCCTATTGAATCGTTCCCTCTTGAAAAGTTACCGTTATTAATTCGCTCCGGTCGCAACGTGAAAAATGACGCCGAGAAGAAACGCCGGGTGACACGTTCCTCTGCGACGTTCGATTTCCCGTATCGCGGTCCGCTCGAAAACTGACCCAGAAAATTCCGACGTGGTCCACCAGCGACGAGAAAATAGATTCCCCGCTTATCTAACAGCCGAGATCGCGGAACGTATGCTGTTTGTCGACTGGAAGCCACTCCCGCTTTTGATAGAATATTTTTGTCGCCGGAAATTTCTCTCGTAGCTGAGTTATTCAATAAAATATAACGCACACTTTGGTGTACGATCCTCGTACTCCTAATGCTATTTCGATATAATACACGTAGTATCGTAGTTTTAACGCTAGCTTTACGGAACGCGTCAAATTGACGCATATTGGAGTTTAGAAATATTATTTTGTAAATGTTCACGCCGATTTACTGACATGTGCCCCAATTACCTACTATCGAATCTCCAGTTTCCACAATCTAAATGAACGATTATCAATTCTTTTAGGAATAATAGAATGAAGTGTACAATAAATGCCCGTAAACCTAGTGTTAAGACAGTTCTAAGGGCTTTAGATCTTGGAAATTTGAGATTCGAGAATAGATAACGGAGACACACATTCGAGTAATAGTATTAATCAACATCGACGTAGACGTTCGCAATGTGCGTTAGATTGACTGTGAAATACAATGTTAATATTGTAGTATCGTAGTTTTAAGACAATGGAACAGCGAGTGTTCTAAGGGCTATAAAAGAGAAAGGGACTCACGGAGACCAGGCCCAAGGGTTGGTGGGTTTTTCCGAAGGATACGTAAGCGAGGATGATGAGTGCGTGGTGATGACAGTGGGGTGGTGTTTGACAATTTGTTGGAAGTGCGAGTAAGAAGAATGCTTGTGGGGGAGAGAATGATTTTTAAGTGATGGCGAGAGTTTTTAGAGAGTTGCGTTGACCTGAGAACAGAAAAGACCTGTACACTGCGAGCTATACCGTTTATATTTATTTGTATTTTATTCAATTATCTATTCCTATGTTTTTTTTAAATAAAACATATGTAGTATCTAGAATTTTTTGTGTTGGCCTCCGTGGCATTGAGTTGTACTTTTTACGTGCTGTCCGTGTTACTTCCATATTTCATTAAATACATATATTCATTCCTAATTCTCGATTACTGAAGATCCACCATTTCATTATCTATAATAATAGCCACACTACACATATTTAAATACCATTAATAGCACGTACAATTTCCGTCGATTATTTGAAACGAACGAGAACATGAAATATCAAGCCATACAAAGCGCAACTTGTTTCTAATATCATACAAATATAATATAAATTCTCCCGAATCATTTTAAACGAATGATAATGAAACACGAATTCGTTTCCTCTCTGAGGGATTTCGAGGTGATGAATATGGAATTGAAAAAGAAACCGTATTACCCGTAAAGTCCGTAATTTCGCAGCGAGGTGGATACACACGAGAGCAGTTTAATAGCGTCAAAGGTGAGCGCAGCGTTTCACGCCGACCCGATCCGCCGCCCCATCGTCAAACGTCAACAGATCTCGCACTCTCGATCTCGTGACTATCCATACGCGAGTCCGATCGTCGGGATCGCTTCCATATGTTCAACGGCGCGGACGCGACCACGAATATTCTGACACGGCATACATCAATATTTAAGTGCGGTTCGAGCATTCGATTTGCAATAAATCGTATTAAATCTATCCCGCGCTGC